CTGTTTCAGAAAATGTAATCTTTGATGTGGTTTAGAACAGGATGGCATTTTATCACAGCATAATTTAACTTTATCTCCGGTAGAATTCTGATGAGGCATTAGCCACGCCTCCTCTTTTTATTTTTTTAAAGCTAAGGACCCAAAATCCGCGTTTCTCTAACAGGGCTGCAAAAGAGGTGTTTGAGCAGTATGAGGCATGGCTACAATGGGTGATCTGTTTGGTATTTTAAGCAAAAAACTTCACAGACATGTTTTGAATAGGTATGGCCCTACAATATATGTTTCCAATATAGCATAATAGGTCCACTTTAATTTACATCAGAATCAGAAATTCTTTCTTTTTTTTTTTTAATAATGGGACACAGGGTTCGGTCCGGATTGATTTGTAATTCGGTCCGGATCCGGACCTTGGTCTGGAGTTTGAGAAGCCCTGGTCTATGGTCTATGACCGCAGAACTTACCGGTATGGACGACCCTACACCGTGAGCAAAGTGTTTAGCTTTTTAGCTAACATGACAGTTGAAAAACATACATTTTGAAAACCCTTTGTGGAAGTGAAAAAACATTAAATATATAACATTATCAAATTATTATTATTAATACATAAATAAAAAGCATTGTTAATTATTATTATTTGTTACTGTTCAGGTTATAACCGTTGTATAAAAGCAATTAAGCCGTTATTTGGGCTTAAAACTCATAATATAAAAGCTCACATTTAGTTCTTTATATTTTTAGTTTTTAAACACCTTGTATACGAGTAGCTTGCATAGCCTACTTATCACGTCGAGTGTGTTAAATATACTTAATTATCAGATGCAGAAACGGTGTTTATCTACCTTGAGGACAGGGTTGAGGGATTGACGTGTGTTCTGTTGTTCAGATAGGAGGACACGCAGGATGCGGTCTGTGTATGACGACTGAGATATAAATAGTCTACTTGGTCGAACGAGGGGAAGATATAAAATCCTAACTAAGGTAGTGGCAGACTGAACACTCTGTCTACTCCACTGTCCTCTCTGAATATGTCTGACATGGAGAGACGTGTGCATGGAAGCTCGGGTCACTGTCTGTCGTCAGCAGGTGCACCACCTTTCTCTCCCTAAAACAACTGAAACAAAACCAACTTTCACTAGTGCTATATCCTTTTTTATTAAAACATTATACAGCCCAGATAATAAACTGACTTGCATTTAAATAATCGGTGATGTTTACTCTATTCTATTTCACTGTTTTAGTGTTCAATGAATCATTTTAGGGCTATTATAATAGATGAATGCACCAGGAATTATGATAATAGGAGTGTAAGCCACTCAAGTAGCTTGGTGCTTGTAAAGAAGCTATTATTTTCTTGTTATTGCATAACATGTAAATGTTACGACAGCTGCACTTTCAGACTACAGTTTGCAGAGAGGCAACTCCTAAAAATAGCACCTGTAGCATCCACAAGTGCACACAAAGATTATTAAAATGGAAGCAGTGCCATCTACTGGTCATAAGAGTCGTTATCATCAGCTTTGACTCCAGTAGGAAGTAACCTCGGCCAAAATGTTTGGCCTTGTGACATAGTCTGCTGCTATACAAAAACAATAATCTATGAATTAGACATTAGTTGATTAATCTATTATTATATAATAGAGGAGCAGTTTTATCACATGCTCAACAACGGGTTTGCAATGCAAGTTGTCAAAAATGCATTCCATCACAAAAAGCTGTGAACCTGCCAAATGAGCACTTTCGCACTCTTCTAGTTAAGTTTGTTGAATAGGGGAGATGCTTCTATCTTAACCAGGAGCTAGGCTTGTGTGGTTAGCACCGATTATATGCAGATTTGTCATCGTCATAAATCAACAGCTGTCCATGGTCTCACATTTTTATTTTTCACTTCGAAGCATTCTTCGGTGCCTCTCCTGAGTTAACCGTTTGTCCCAGAGGAAAAATGTCTCCCCATTAGCGGAAGAACAAGATATCTAATCTTCTCCCTGTCCACCTGTTTCCGATGTATTAGGAGGTTTTGATACCTCTTCATCTACTTTGGCCATCCCCATGAATATTGCCTACCCTTCCTTCAGACTTTTAGTAGACATTATATGACATGGATTTGGATTGATCTCTTGATGATGTGTTCTCTGGTTCTTCCTCAGCAGTGCAGGAACAGTGGTGGGAAGCGATGGAGTGAAAACCTCTCTCCTTGCATCTTGCCATTCTTCCTACAGCAGCTGGGAATGAACCAGGGGATGACACCACTTTCATCCCAGAACCCAGACTGTCCAGCTGTTTGCTATCGCTCATCCTGACGGCTGGACTGACAGGGGCACAGCCCAGCATCAGCAAATCTGAGGCAGAACCTACATGCATGTCACTGTTACTGTCTGAGGCCTGCGCAGGAGCGCACAGCTAGCACCTGGACGCTAAGGACCATGTCATTTCTCAGTAGGAAGGCCAGCTAAGAATTTGATTAACTATCTGGTGTTTTCTTATTTTTGTTTTACTTTCTGCATTATTCATTTGTGTTGGGAGGTGCAAGGATCTAGTGACCAGGGCTTTGGATTGTTTGTCTATAAATAATGTTTTGCTTTGTCAATAATACAATATTTTAATGCAGAAACAGAAGTACCAGAGGGCATAAGGGTAATGAAAATATATGTAATTATTTCACACACACACACACACACACACACACAAACAGAGGCCTGTAAACAGGAGGGGTCAGGGTGCAGTTTTTAAGAGGGGTGCAGACTGTGGAGGTATGCAAGGATCTGTTTTCTCCATTTATGCAGTTACTCCGTTGTCTGGTGTTTGTACTCTTAATTTAATTTGTGGGAAACCATTTCCACCTCAACCACCCCAGTGAGAAAGTATTCCTTCTTTGGTTACTGTGGCCTTTGCATGGCTTAGGGATAGATCCAGGAGGATTACCCCGAGCAAAAACGACCAACCTACACCCAAAACCATTAACATAGCTGCTGCAACCTATTCCCTCGCCCGTCTCTTTGTATCCAGTGCCTTGAAATTTGAGACTGCCCTTGAAAGTTGCCCAGTGAGCATAATCTACATTCTTTCACAAGACTATTTCCAACACTCACAAAACTGTACTGCGTCGCCATACTGCTTTTTCCTTATTTATTTGTTCATAGCGTCAATACCTCTAGGTGGAGATTACTAATCTCTGTTTCATATATTAATCATATATAATTTTTGTGGGAAGATAATATTTCAGATGTCACTCTCCCTTATACTGTGACATAACATGTTATCAGCGTACTACATTATCATTGTTCTTGTTTAGATTTTATTAGCTGTACTGGAAAAATAAAGCAATGTGCTACAATTTATATGATCAGACATTTAAGTAGCTTATTCACGTTTCTCCCAAATATAATATATAGCAGCATATTTTCTTGTTCTGAAGTGCTGCACTGGGAACTTTTGAATCTCAATATACTGATTCTGTGTGTAACAGAACCGCCCAGTCACCGAGAACTCTTTAAACAGACAGTTTTGTGTCCAATAATTTTGGCACTCATCCATGTCATCCCTGCCATTCCTGTCTGTGGTATTTTCACCAAACAGAAGAAATTACTGTCCCATTATATCCTCAGCTGTTGTGACTGTAACATTCCATGAGCAATTCAACAGACACTCTTATTATATGATTATTAATAGATGCACTTCTCTTTCTCAACGTTTTATGAAAACAGAAATATGTTTTGAGTTTTGGTCTAGATCTGAAATCACTAACACTAAGATTTGGTCTATATATTGTTTTACTGCAAATTATCAAATTGTGCACCATATTACAAATGGTTGCAACCATTCAACAGTACTCTCACATTCACACTGTGTCAATTAAATGCATATTATATAAGCAATAACTAGGGCTTTGATTTCACAAGAGTTTACATATTTCTTCTCATTTAACCCTTTATCCAATTTGGTGTCGTTCAGCTGGTTAAACTTCTGGTTGTAGTTAAAGGTTATGTCACTAGAGGGCCATATTCCTCCACACTTTGCTGTTAGGACCGGAAACATACTGGGGATTTAAAACCAACCAACATGAGCTGTGCAAAACTCGATTTCAGTTACACTATATTGAATCATACTGTAGAACAACAATGCCAAATTATATGTAGGCTATAAGATTTAAGACAGCAGATAGGAAAAGTTAATCAAAAGTTGCAGTATGATTTGTGCATACACCGTTTTCCTCCAAACAGCTTGCAAGCAATTGTTTTGTAAAAAAAATCTTCCTGTCAGCTCAAACTGCATAGAAATTGGCTTCCGTGGTTTTTAACCTGACTGGCAAACAACTGTTGTAAATACCAGTTTAGACTATTTAGGAGCGCTCCTTAAAGAATCCGTTGCCACAAGGCCAGAAGAGTATTAGCACTCTAGCTAGTGATACACAATTTCGGATTTCCATGGTTTATATGCAGCGTATTAATCATATAGCATGTTTGTTGTGTCTGTATGGCATACCTTAGGAGAAGAGTGAGTCGTCTATCCAGATAAACTTCTCTTCCTGAGAGAATAATGTTGTTATAATAACTCGTTACTCCCACTGGCTCCATTTGAGATGATTTGCGGCTGATGCATATGGTTGCATGGCTATCGCTTCTTGTGCAACTTCGACATGAGTCACTGTGTGTAAATAGAATAAAGCTGTTACTAAAAGGTCGACCAAACTGGGCAGAGCAGCTCGATATATGCATTCAAAAGAGCACAGTATGGTTGTACCACCATGTAAATTATTTGCATTGCGTCTTAAATTGTTTTACTCGTTCGTTAAAAAGTATCATCATTTATTTTTGACAAGAGCGTGGACAGTTATTGTAATATTTAACACAGTGCGTCTGTCACAGAGCGATGTTAGCAACAACCAACCACCACCTGCCTTACTAGCAGGCACAGCGCGTCTGACCAATCGTTTCGCATCTTGCTGGGAGGCGTAGTACGGTGGGGGCAACGCTATGGAGTTTCCGCTACTCCTGTGCTTTCATGCCATCAGGTTAGGAAGCTAGCAAGAGAGCTAAGCTAGCGTCACGCTAGGCCTCCAGCAGACCAGCGGGAGAGCTACCAAGATCAGACACTGCTATTCGCAAGGAGACAAATATCCCTTTATGAATCTGCATGAGAACAATTAAAATCCCAGAAATATGGTGGTTCTCAAAATTCGAGACCAGGTAAGTGATCGTTGTGTCAAAAGCTGACCCAAGTTTCAGCCACTATTGGCTGGCTAATGTTAGCTAGCTGCCCCGATTTCAACATTGGCCAGCAGAATGTAAGTCTAGTTTGTCCACCGGCTTAAGGCTAACAGAAGCATTTCCTTCAACATTTCATGTGAGCTTCGGTGATAAATGATCCCTTCTGAGGTTAAACTTAGGTGCAGTGGTGCTAAGTGAATCACATTTGGAGTGTTGGGCGATAACGAGACATCATTGAAACACATGCTCAAACGGTTGTTGAGCTGAAGCTAATGATACTGTTTTTATCTCAGTATTTAGCCAGAGCCTGCGTGATATGCTACTTAGCTGGGAAGTGACTTGTTAGCATCCTGTGACTACACAATTCAACAATAGCCTTTGAGATTTCGCTTTCAAGCTCTAGTAATAATAGCCACTACTGTAGTGTGAGATGAGTACAATAACAACCAACGCTATCTGTTGATTGTAACGTTACTGTGACAACTGGCCGTTGGTGACATCCATGTGTTGTACCTCAGCTGGGGTGGCTTTATGATAGCTATTAGATTGGTTGAACACTTAAATGATGATGAAGCTTTTATGCACCAATTTCCCTAACCAAATGTTTAATCTTGTTTGAATACCACCACTTTGCTGTGTGGTGTAGCAATCCGTGCGAGGCGTTGTGTCCTGCTCAGTTTAGTGATGGTTTAATTTATAAACATGGTTTACATCAATTACATAAGTTATGTCCTTGATCACATCTTTTGCTCCCTGCTAATATTCGAATCGTTTTTAAAGTATTTGTGATTTGTTTTAGTTTTTTACTCAAATGTAATGTATGAATGGTATGCCTGCAAGTTAACTGCTGTGTAATGGTTTTATTAAATGTACAAAGTCACTGGCAATGTGACAGTACATGCTTCCTCTAACTATATTAAACACTTGCCACCTACTTGTGAAAACAAGAATAGCATTCCCTTATCTTTTAAGGGCTGTGTGTTTTGGACATGGATGCTATTCGTGTGTGTGTGCGTGCGTGCGTGTTTGAATGATCGTGTACCTGGACTCATGTGAGCTGGTGGAGTTGCCAAAGAGCTGTCTCCATGGTGATGGTATTAACTAGGCTGGCTTGTATGAGAAGAGGAGGTGCACAATCGTGCAGCCAGAGAAGCATCGAAAATCTCTTACACCAATTGGGCTGGACTCAAGAACTGAAAAAGACAAAATGCACATTTGTCCTTCCCTTTCACTGTGGGGGATATAAAGGCATTATCAAGAAGAAACAAGTGCCTGTTTGTTACCCTGAATGTATCCTCGTAATTCTAAGCTCTACTGCACTATAACACCCTGCAGATATTCATGGGCATTATAACAAGTGAATGAGAGGATTGTTTTGTGTTATTAAAAAGGACTCAACACTTCTTGGTCCCTAGACGGTAATGCTAAGCTTTGTCTTGCTTATTCTAAATACTTAATGAGCATGAGTTCAACTGCTCAAATGCTTTATTCGGCTCAAACAGATTTACTATCTTATCCTGTTGGTTTTCATATACTTCAGAGACGTTTTTTCTACCCATGCCAACACCTATACCTGGAACTATCCAACGTGTTCACAGTAAATATTAGGTGTTGCATTTGTCTTGCTGTAGAAAAGTGTATTGCATAAGGTTCAATTGTGTTCTGTCTGTCGAAGGTAACAGTACTTGGTTTTATGCTCAACATTCACATAGCTTTGAAAAAAGATACAGGATATTAATGTGATTGTGAGTCATTGAGACATATAAGGAAGCAGTACAGAAAGACTAGTTGTGTCCAGAGGCAGCTAGTTCAATTTGATAAGGTTTGTCTAGTATGTAGCTCAAACAATACCAGATGAACTAGAGGTCTTTTGTACAGTAAGTCTTATAAGCCACATGGCTGCACTTTAGCTAATTATCTAGCAGCCCGGTGCCTTAAATGAGGGATGAAATCTTAATGAACGAATGGACTCTGCATGTTACATCATTCTGACTGTACGCAGAAGCAAATCCAGCACAAGGAAATTGTATGAAAAATATCGTCATACACAAGTCTTGACTTCTGGTAATGCTAAGACTGTCTGCTGGTGTTATGGTGGATCAGACAGGAGTGTGAAGCCCTGTAGATCTGATTAACATGACGTATGGTTGTACATTAGCACATTTTCAAATAGTTGATAAACATTGATCCCTTCAGTGTTTCCAAATCAATTTGACAACTCACAGATGTCACACTGGTTTATAACAATTTTAAAAAGCTGGCATAATGCTGACAGTTGTGTTGGATAACTTGGTTTTGGAACATTCGGTTGTCAGTTTGAACTCACTATTCAGCGACACGTAGTGCAGGTGAGCTTGTTCAACAGGAAATGTTGGCAAAATGCTGCGACAGTGTCACAATATATAACTTCAGCTATCTGTCCATTGGTAATTACTGCAATAAATCATAAAAAGTATTTCAGTTACATATCTTAAATGTGTTTTTGAGAGATGGATATGAAAATGTGTTTAACTTTTGAAACTGTTTTCAGATCAGCTGGGTGGGTTTTTCCTATTTTCCTCTGTTTCCGAGAAAGATGTAGAAAGTCATGTTTCTGTCTTCTAAAAAAAAGTGAACTGATCAGCACATCAGTCGTTTGCAGCACAATGCTGGACTTGTATTCAATCAAGTAAAGGGATATTTCTCTCTGTGCCATGGGATGGATGTGGTTTTGCTTGCCTGCAGACTGTAAACACCAAACAGAATTAGAAAGTGGCTGCTCAGCGTTTGTCCTATCAATTCTGACAGTCTGCCGCCATCATCCTCTGTTTGTGGAGTCATCGTTTTGTTAAATGTACATTTGAATGCCTGTACAGACCTGACATGAACCTAACTTGTTTTCGATGGCCTCTTGAACATGATTGTGTATACTCAGAGCAAATGAGCTTTGTGTGTATTGTGGTGCTTAAGGACGAGGATCCTGCAGTCTCTCTAAGGGTTACATTCTGAATGGTTATTGTTTTCTCAAGTTTGACCTATTCTGTTGGCATTTCTAGTCAGAGAAACACGGTTTTCCCTTACAGGCTCGCATTAAGTTTAACTGAAAGTGTTGCATGTCTGACATAAAAGTCTTGATAATAAGTTGATTTTAACACAGTCTCTTTTTCTTTTACAGCCTGCTTTGCTGAAAGCTATTTTCAATGTGGACCCAGATGAAGTACGCTCACTGATATTCAAGAAAGAGGATGTGAATGCACAGGTAATCTCACTAACTCACGCTCATTTCCGCATTTGATTCCCCTTTTCTGGTTTTAAAAACATCCCTACAACACAGAACTTAAAAGTTGTAATTTACAATTGTCCTTGAATGCCCTCATAGAACTCTATCAGTTAGTCGTTTTTACTATAAAAAAAGTAATTAGGTTTGTTTTTACAATTATTACTGCATGATCTGACTAAGCTTATTTCATTGCTCTTCCTCTCCATTCTTGCTTTAGCTGGGTGTTTGTTTCCAAATAAAGCAGGTTTGTACTGGAGGAGGTTTCACTGCAAGGCTTTAGAGTTTCTGAATTTGTGTTTAACTGTGGTTCTGTCAACATGTGAACAGTTATATCTAATTTCTAGAATTATATATGTAGTGTAAGAATTGTAATGCAAGACATATCACAACCAAATGAACATTTATAGAGTAAAGTAGAGGTACACATTTAGACTGTGGTTTCTATTTATTTCCACAGTAAACGTCTTTGTGTTAATTTATTACAGGACAATGAGAAGCGAACTCCGTTGCACGCTGCTGCTTACCTCGGAGATGCAGAGATTATAGAGCTGCTGATTCTTTCAGGTTTGTTTTTCAAAAGAGGATTTATGTACTGAAATGAAATACCAACATATGGATTTCTGTCATTTTTATAGTGTGGAGCATTTAGAAATGGAGCTTTCAGAAATCGGAACATTTTATTCTCGACATGTCAGATGGCCTGCATTGCATCTGAAAGCAGAATAGTTCAAAACCAAATATAGGTTTAATGTTACAATATAGAAATAAAAAGTGCTCATCGGGTATCAGTAGGGATTATCTAGGAAATGGAATAGCTGTTGATTTGTTTATTAAAAGGACAGATTTCTGGCTAAAAGAATTATACCAATGTGAGAAGTATATTTCTTCCTGAAGTTTAAACCCTTGTAAATCACTTTTGGCCAAGTTATCATCCCCTTTCATCTCATAGCCGTACATAAGCTTAACATACTGATTTCTCTATTCTGGGTATTGAAGGGAGTGGTAAAATATGCTGATGTTAGCTTTTCTAAGAGCGTAAGGATATGTTTCAAAGGCTTATGTAGCCAGATGGTGCATCTGCATTCAACCTACACACTTTGCAGTCTGCTCTTTTGCTAAGGTTTTTGCCAACAGAGATATTAGGAAACTGCCCTTCATAAAAATCAATAAGGCTTTAGGCATTCTGTTGAAATGTTGCACTGGATGGCATGTAACTGTATGACCTTAAACAGTCTAACAGCCTGTGTCATCTGACTTGTAGGTGCCAGAGTAAATGCCAAAGATAACAAGTGGCTCACTCCTCTGCACCGGGCCGTGGCCTCCTGCAGTGAGGTATGTGAATGTTCCTCTGAGTATGCAAAACACACAAATGTCGCGCAACATTTTTAAATTCTAAACCGTGTGGAACCTTAACCTGCATGTGATGACTTCTTGCAGGAGGCTGTTCAGGTCTTGCTGAAACACTCTGCAGACGTAAACGCCCGAGACAAGAATTGGCAAACGCCGCTTCACATCGCCGCAGCAAACAAAGCTGTCCGCTGCGCCGAAGCCCTCGTCCCACTGCTCAGCAATGTGAATGTGTCCGATAGAGCCGGCCGGAGTGCGCTGCACCATGCAGCCTTCAGCGGGCACCTGGAGGTAAATTAAGCCTACACATGGTTTGATTCAGCTGTGAGCTCTTCTGACAGGCTTTAATGCCTTTAGTATTGATTTCGTTGTACCTTAATGGATGGAAATGGAAGCGCATTTGAATACCACTTGCTATATAAAACAGGACATGTAACTTTAAAGGGTCTGTGTTGACTATTTGGCTGCACTTTCTGATTTGTCTTTGTTTTGTTATAAAAGCATAAGCACTTAAGTGCTGTTCATATTGACACAACAGGCTTGATAGGAGGTGGGTTCGCCTGGCTGTTAGTATAAGCTCCTGATCTTCGTCTCTTACTGACAGGAAGTGCTTGCCTCATAAATGTGTAAACACAATGGGTACCGTATTGCAATACCAAACAAATGAACAATGGCTGCATTTTTGTCCGTTTTTAAAAAGTGGGAAGTAAACCAATCAACACCCACATTTAGCTCTGTTGTCTGCCTACAGTTAGCAGCTATGTTAGTAGCCATAGCGGTCGTGTCATAACCACAACAAATTATTTGTATTTATTTTAGAAATTACTCAACAGGTTGACAAACGTGTAGTAGGTTGTTCCTCTTGCTTTCAGAGTTGTTTGTATTTGTACCCATGGTATTTGGCATACGATGTGGCCTATTCTTACTTTTAATTTTAAACATTAACTAAACTGAGCTTTTGTTGTATGGAGAGTGAGAGGTGATGGTGATGAGCCTTCATATTTGGGAGTCATGCACAATTTCAAACACCATGATAAAGTCTGAAGAGGGAGAAGCCACAGCTCCTCAAACCATTGAGCTGCTTATAAATGAACCGGTCATAGTTTGTTGTGAAAATAAAGCATGTTTACACCATAATCTTCTTTCCCTAATCGATGCAGACTGACATAGTGGTCTGTCAGTCATGACTTTTGGTCACGTTAAAGGACTCGGCATGCAGAGTCGGTGCTTGTCCAATCAGGTGCCTACATGCAAATGATTGCAGTAATATCATTTGTGCAAATTATGTATCTTAGAAATAGAGAGGTCTTGTCTAAGTGTTGCTGTGTATGTAAATCAAATGCATATAAGTTATATTCCATGTATATTGATTAAAGCCTATGTGCGGTGTTCAACATAGGTACACTGCGTAAGTTATCAGTTTCATCCCTACTGACTTCCTCAGGTCTTTCAACCTCTGTTTGCTCAGCAATTTAAACAATGCTTTATAGCCTTGTGGAAACTCCTTGAGATTAGTTTAAATCAAAGTCAACTTTAGGCATGTTTGTGGTGTAGAGCAGAGTATTAAGGCATTACGCACAATGTGTACACCATGGTTATATGTGTTGGTGCACTAACTGAAAGGCAGCTGAATCAGAAGTGGTCAGGTTGTAACTTCCCTTGACATTTTCCCTGACTGCTTTTTTCCCTTCTCTGTTCCTGCTTTTAGATGGTGAGGCTCCTGCTCTCTAGAGGAGCAAACATCAATGCCTTTGACAAGAGGGACCGCCGTGCAATCCACTGGGCAGCATACATGGGTAATAAATCATCCACTAGCATTATTACATCTCTATGTAATGTGACGAGTTCATCTCATCCTGTGGTCAATACAAGTCAAGAATTATTAAAAGGTTTTTTTAAATGAACACAAATGAATGAGTAATATCTTGACAGCATATTCATGGTATGAAATCATGCTCTCTTTATCCTCAGGACACATAGAGGTGGTAAAGCTGCTGTCATCTCATGGAGCCGAGGTGGCCTGCAAAGATAAGAAATCCTACACCCCTCTACATGCAGCAGCCTCCAGTGGAATGATCAGCGTTGTTAAATACCTCCTGGACTTGGGGGTGGATGTAAGTTCCACCCACCAGCTTATTCTATACTCTGCAGACACTGATAGATCTGATCAGGAGAGAATTCATGTAATAACATAACCTGGCACTGTGCACTGCCTTAGATAATGACTAGGATTTTAATATTCTGCGTACAAACAGTGTGTTGGTGAGAAACAGGGATGTCATGATAACACCCTGTCTTATATTTGCGTCTAGATCAATGAGCCCAATGCTTATGGCAACACGCCCCTGCACGTGGCCTGCTACAACGGGCAGGATGTGGTGGTGAACGAGCTCATTGAGTGCGGCGCTAACGTCAACCACGTGAACGAAAAGGGCTTCACGCCGCTTCATTTCACCGCCGCTTCACGCCACGGGGCGCTCTGTCTGGAGCTCCTAGTGTGCAATGGGGCTGATGTCAACATCAAGGTAAAAGAAAAACACAGTTTGCCTCTTGATATTTCAGCACTCATTAGGGCTGCACGATATTGGAAAAAACTGACATTGCGATTCTTTCCCCCCCCCTGCGATATGAAAATACCGGGGGTTTTTTCCACAAAAAATCCTTTCTTGAACTTTAATGCTATACAATTGGTATTTTTTTAACTATATTTAACCGGATGAAGGATTTTAGTCAAGGACGTCTGGATCTTAAGTTATCAGAGCAACAAGCTGAGCTAGCTCGGTTAGCAGCGCCGAACTGGAGAAACACATGAAACTACTTGACTCAGTGTTTTTACCTTTAATCACCGTCCGTTTGCTTTGGAGATTTGATTGTGATTGTGGTTTGCTGTGCATGCAGAGCCTGCATGATGTAACTCACTCAAGTACCCCTGACATGAGAGCTGCGCAAGTTTTCCTTTTGTAGCAAGCAGCAAAATAATTTTAACATGACGTGTTTGAGTTCATTTTACTACTTAATATCGCAAGCACTAAAAAAATAAAAAATTGAAAAAAATCGCAAGTCCTGCGATGTGCATATCGCGATTATCGTCACAACACGATATATCGTGCAGCCCTAGTATATAGTAAGTAATAACATTGGTTGGCTCCTGTCAGAGAGATGTTGCCCTTACTGGATATTCTTAAGATGACTCTCTTTCAACTCATATGACACCTCTCCAGGTGAATCTAAATGTGAAGCAGGGAGGGAAACGTCTGGAGCACCAAGGCATCCGCATCGAGTTTGTTGGACAGATAGGTGAGTGTGTCTGAAGTGCTGCATGATGTGTTCATTGAATGGAGATTTGTAATGTTTAATGTCTAAAGTTAGTGCTGACAGATAACCTCTAACTTTTCTTATGCAATTAGTTCTAAGAAGTATTTGAAATGAGTAATGAAAGCAGTGTTTTTAAAGAGCATGGGTTTTAAACTAAACTACTGTATTAAACGTTATGCAGTGTGTTTGAAGTGTCTTGAATTACACACCATCCCTACACATCCTCTGTGCTGTATTACAGAGCTGTTCTCTGATAAGAGCAACACCCATGAGTTTGTGGACTTGGTGAAAGAGTTGGCTCTACCTGGAGAGCTCGCCCAGAACAGGAGCTACGACTTTGAGTTCATGCAGGTGGAGAAGCCGTATGAGACCTATACTGGAGCCAATGTCAGGCTAAGGTATATTTATTACACAGTTTGAGTTAACACATGGTTTTACCATCATATGTTCGTTCCAAATTGTTTAAGGCTTCATTCATAACGCTGACATTTCAATAAAAAAAAATCAACATTGGCGGCTGCACAGCTTTTTTTTCAATCCAAACCTTTTCTAAACCTACAGAGCCTATATTATTGATAATGTACAGAAACAGCCACATTCTGACCCATTTGTAATCATCAGTACATGTCAAAATAATATACAAACACATTGTGGCTTGTTTGAGTCCACACATTAAGGAGAAGGAAAAGACTCACACATCGGCTTTTTCCCCCCTCCAAAATATAAATGATTGATATCTTTGGATGTTCATTCTAACTCTTAAAGCTCGCTTTGTCTTTGTCCTCTTCTCACAGGTATTTCCTCAGGGTGACAATAGTCCGTCGTCTGTCTGACTTAGTGAAGGAGTACGAGCTGATTGTCCACCAGTTGGCTACATACCCAGACGTCAACAACTCGATCAAGATGGAGGTCGGCATAGAAGACTGTCTGCACATTGAGTTTGAATACAATAAATCCAAGTAAGACTCATTTCTCTTGAACTCTCCTGGAGAAGTCTTTATTGTTTCCGCAGTCAATCCAAATAAGGCCGAGTCAGTTAAAGCAGCTTCTCTTGCTGTGTGTCTTTGTCAGATACCACCTTAAGGACGTGATTGTTGGGAAGATCTACTTCCTGCTGGTCAGGATCAAGATCCAACACATGGAGCTACAGCTCATCAAGAAGGAGATAACAGGCATAGGTAAGAAGCAGGGCTGCTCGATTATGGCAAAAATCATAATCTCGATTATTTGGGTCAATAATTGATATCACGATTATTAAAAAACGATTATCCATTTACTTTGAAAACATCCATTTATTGGAGAGAAAAAATGTGAACAGTATGTTTTTAACAGTTGATTACCTGAACCTGAACTTTAAGTATAACTCAACTGAAAAACCAATTACATTTTTTTTTCCGTTTTATTTCGATTACGTTGTTTTCATAATCGTTGCAAGCCATAATCGTAATTGCGATTTAAAATACGATTCATTGAGCAGCCCTAGTAAGAAGCCAGTGACGCCACGTGTCAAATGAAACTAACTCAGGTCAGACATATGGCTGGTATGCACTAATATATAATATTATTAATAGTAGCATAAATCTGAACAATGTAGTCCATCTTCTCTGCTCTAATCCACTGTCTATAAACTCTTATGTTTTGTCCCAAAGGTCCCAGTACTACCACAGAGACAGAGACGGTCGCAAAGTATGAAATCATGGATGGGGCTCCAGTTAAAGGAGAATCAATTCCCATTAGACTGTTTCTGGCAGGTAAGATCTCTTGTCTTGTCTTCCCCTATGTCCTGCCTTTTAATCTCCTCTTCTCTTTAGTGAAACCGAATTTCAGGCATATCGTACTTAGGCTTATCGTAGTGTTCATTTCTTATTAAACATTGAACACCAGCGTATCACATTCACGTTCCTTAAGTATCCTTAACTAGTCATGAAACATATTAAAAATGTTCGAAGGGAGGCACTTAATTCGGGTCAGAGTAGGACCGTTATTTATTTATTATTTGTGCATGTTTGTCCTGAAGGAGCGCTAGCAGCCATTGTTGCTCGGGCTTCTAACCGCCTGTCCGTGTTCCTCCTTGGAGAGCGGCCTCCAGGCATGTTGGCATCGCACAGTTGTTGCTGCGGGGACAACGCTTCAACCAACCAACCAATAGCTTGAGCCTGCTCTTGACCCCCTTGTTGCGCTCTGAACTGATGTCCCATAACAGCACTCTTGTATCAGTAACATTAAATACACTCTAGGCTTGGTTTTTCACCTATATCCTCATGTTTAAATCATCTCCAGATTTAGAAGCCGATATTTAATGAATTCATTTGTGCAGAGTAATCATTGATTACGTCTTCTGTTTCCTCCAAAGGATACGACTTGACACCTACCATGAGGGATGTCAATAAGAAGTTCTCTGTACGCTACTTCCTCAATCTGGTGCTAGTGGATGAAGAGGACAGAAGATACTTCAAACAACAGGTAACACACTTGCACTTGACCGATAGCTTTATTCATATTCTTTACAAACTTCATATAGATCAAACGGTTATATGTTTGTCAATAATAATTGTTGTCACAATATTGTGATCAGGCAGCCCTTCATTCATTTAAACTCTCTGTAGTCTCTGATTTTTCATTCCTCCATTTGTTCTTCTGCTTCTGTGCTTAGGAGATTGTTTTGTGGAGAAAAGCTCCAGAGAAGATTAGGAAAAAGAACTTCCAGCGCTACGAGTCTCCTGAGCCCCGCACCCAGCCAGTGAGCGCTGAGCAGCCGGAGATGTGAGGTGGCGCTATGAACTGAAAACCCACACAGACACACACCAACTCTTCACTGCTGAACAGCCAGAGGTGTGAGAGCTACCACACTATCTCCCTGGACTGAGAATGGTATACATGAATACACTCAACATACCTTTGAGACATCCACATCACCACTCTAAAGCTTCAGATGTGAGCTGTCTGCCCGCCCCCCCCCACCCCACTCTCCCCCGGACTGTAACACTTGCATACCGATGCACAAGCATAGAATCCAAGAAGGCTGAAAGCTAAATGTCAAGGCAAGAGTGCAAACGAGGAAGGAATAGTGAGACAGCCGATTTGATCCTGGTGTCTCAGACGAGCGAAGCCATAAAGCCTCCGTTTGTTGATTGCAAAATAAAACATGAGCAAAGATGGGATGGCTCCAGATGACTACAACATCGTTTATCCCTTTCTACTGCAACACGAGCTTTTTGGTTTGCATATTTGGAGCGCACATGTCATGTCTGAACGAAGGACATGAGGCTAAGCTACAAGTTGAAAACAAGATTTCCCCAGTTGTTGTTAAATGTGTTGCAACAGTCAACAGGCGGTTTCTTCCATGCAAATGTCTGTGTATTGCAACAAATGTCCATGTAGACATATATTTAATCTTCCAGCTATTTAGTGAAAATTAAAATATCTGTATCATTTCAATGTCCTTTACTTCTAAAAATCATAAAGTTAAATGGAAATCATTCAGAGCTGCAACTAATGATTTGGTTCCGCACATTCTTGATAAATCTCTTTAACATGTCATTAAAAGTGAAAAACAATTTCCGAAAGCCAGAGGTGACATCGACAAATATCGTTTTTGTCTGACCACGAGTCCAAAAACATTCATTTTACAGTCACATACTGGAGAGGAACACGTTGAAGGCTCAGTTTTTAATAGATAACAAGAGATCTGCCATCAAAACAGTCGATTTACAAATCAATTCACTAATCGCTGCATAGATTTAAATCCACTGCTTGACAAAGAATCTTAACTTCAATACATTTTAGTCTCATGTTATTATCAATATTTAATGCTGTTTTCACTGATAATGGTTCTCTGGCACAAGCCTTAGTTCGATATTACACGTGCTGTTTAGTTTGTCTTTCCTAAGTTATTTTGAGTTGGTTCACTCACTCACAAAAAGAAGATTCATTTTTTTCCCAAGATGTCAGAGCTATCTATGATAAGTACAAATGAAATGCCAGTACCTCCAAATGATTGGGGTGGAAGAAGAAATATAAAGGGATATATCAACTTAGACACACCTAAAAGCTGTATTGCAAAATATAAAAAAAATGTAATGAAATATGGTTATAGGTCATTTGAAAGTGTACACCTTTTTATAAGTTCCTGTGTCAGGGCTGGTGACAGCTGACTCACATCAGTCAATGCAGGACTTCTCTTTTCTTTAGCATCTTAAATTCAAAGCTTAAAATGCTGGAGGAAGTGGTCTGGCTACTTGTATCTGAAGAAAATGTTCATGTTATCACCGCATGGGCTTAAATTATTCAAAAATGAAATGATGCTAGATTTACTGTCAATTTGTGATTGCTGGTTTGGTATAAGTAGAATACTAATGTTACAAAAATGTCGTCTGATAAGCACTGGAAGGGATGCTGCATCGCTTTACTGTAAAATCCAACATTATTCCACTGTGACGCTCAGACTGGGAGTTTAGGTCTTGCTTTAAAGACACACAAACTGTGGTGTTACCGGTTTGTGTGTAGGTTCAATCGGCTCTTAAGCTCTGAACTGTGGCCAGGTTTGCACTTTCCCCTTTGATACTTAACTTTGTTCAAAAGGGGCATGGAAGCTGAAGCTAAACATTACTCAAGGGCAACTCCACCTCAGAGGTCCCCTGTGTCTATAATGGACATTATGCTGTCATTTATATATCACTACTTGATTGAATAAGTACAATATGTTGTTGCTTTTTGTCTCTTACATGTGCAAGTCATGCTGTCACATTATGTTGCATTTCATAAAACTCTGAACACTAACATCTTCTGTTCAGATGTATTTGTTATTTTCTTTTGTGTGGAAACAGTGTGATTTATTTGCAGGTTACACTTTTATTCAGCCTTTCAGACATTTGTAGTCTTTCTAAAAACACTGTACAGGCAGGGTTTGTTTAAATGCCTTCAAAGGTAATGAAGAAACACTTCAATGCCAAAACTATCTGCCCGTGTCTTCTACTGCATGTTCATCTTTACACAATGTCTAATCATGTCATTGATGTGTATGTATGTGTGTGTGTGTGTGTGTGTGTGTGTATGATAATGTTTATATACACCGAACCCAAATATATAGCCAAAATAAATCGTGAATAAAGCAAATTTATACAGAATAGCTTTAGAACAACACTCTTTCTTTATTAAAAAACATGGACAAGAGTTCAGTTCTTTGTTTACAGAAACGTCTCAATATGTTTCGTACAAATAATTCCTACAGATTGACAACTGTGTGTAAAATACTCACAGCCTACTTATCCTGCTGTCACACATTCAGTTAGATTATTATTATTATTATTGTTCCAAATCTACCTTTTTTATTTATTTCGGATGACCACCCTGGGAAAACGCAATACAAGGTTTCAGAGAGACTAATTGTTTGCTGATTTGCAATAACTACCTTATTGTGAATATTGTTTTTTATAGACAGCTGATGGAAATGTGCACCAAGTAGTCACACAACTGAAACTTTGACAGGAAGAGTTCAGTGGTGGGTGGTGTGGTCAATCATTAAAGTCAGCATTTCTATAGATTTGGCTTTATGGCTGCTGAAATATAAATAAGTGCATTCACTCCAGTTCTCTACTGAAAGGTAGGTAAGAATGGAGAAACCAGCTCGAGTGCGCTAGAATTTGAAAGTACGCAGCCGAAAAAAATCTGCCCCTTTCTTTCGTTCTGTACTACCTACACATTTCAAATACTTAGTATTCTTCTTGAGTATTTCCGTTCTTGGTAGGCTACTTTATACTCCACTACAACCAAGAGGCTAATATTGTTCTGTTAACTCCATTACAATTACCTGACGTTCTATCAGTTTTATGTGTTTTCTGTTCAGTTCGAAAAAAAACATTTACATTTTTTTGATTAACAACATAAACAACATTTACCTAAATAGACATAATAAACCATTCTAAACCCTCATGAGTCTGTGTACCTTCGTATCAATTTTTTGTCTTTCGTAAACCAGTAAACAGCAAAGCGACTGCAATACTTCTTGTTTTAATGTAGGGATGGTTTATTTGATTTGAAGTATTTTTTCTAATGTATGGATTGTTTATTTTGATTTGTTATACTTTTGTTAATGTATGGGTTGTTTATTTTATTTGTAATGCATGGATTGTTTATTATTTTTACATTTGTATAAAAGCAAAGAATCCATACATTAAAAATAAAATAAACAATTAATCTGGCCATTTAATAAGCTAAAAAACTAAAACAAAAAAATATTGTTGTTGCTTAAACGGAAAATTCCGTTTACTTGTGAAAAAAAAAGGAACAATGATTTTGTCACTTTTCCGTTTACAAGGACACTCAAGGTCACATTAATACAGCAGAAATACTTATCCAAATCATCACCATTATGTTCTTTATTACAACACTGACAGTCAACATTTTACTGCTTTTTCCTCTTTTACTTTCATACTTTAAATCCTTTTTCTGATACCTACTAAAATACTTTTACTAAGTATTTGAGTGGTGGATTTGAACGTGGGTTGAGTATTTTTACAGTTTGGTTTGGTATCAGCCTTTACTCAAAGTAAAAAGAAAGCGGGTCATTTAGCAGAGGAATAATATCTGTTCAATATACGATCTTAGGTTTACACTATATAGAAGTCATATAAATGGCCTGTTTAAAAATGCGTCATTTTCTTCACAATGTCAATCGGAAAAATCATGACAAGTTATTTCATCAATTTTAAACAGTATTGGCTCATTTAAGCAAGTAGTTTTTATTGTGTTTTGAACACAAATCATTGTATGGTCAAAACGCAAAACAGGCACATTTGTGGGCAGCTAAATCTCGACGGGTCCTGTCCCACGTGTAAGCAGGAAGAGTGTTGACCGTCCTCTGGTGCAGCTTGAAGTTTCTGGTGTGATATAATCCACATATTTAAACCTGATAAACACCATGGAGCGACAGTAGCACACATTTTGTACATAGCCCGCAGAAGGTGCTAACAACCGGGGTAAAAGCGACTCGCAGCGATGTCAGCTAACCGGTGTTTGCACTTGTTTTCTCGGCTTCAGCGGCACATTATCCCCCGGGCTGCCCGTTGTCCTGTGTCTTCTGGCTCTGCTTTGTTGCACAGAAAACACCAGGATGGCTCTCAGGTTTCCAGCAGAACAGTTTCATCAGACAGCTTTTCTTCAAAACCCCCTGACACCTCTCTGTTTGTCCCGGTGTCTCTGAAGGCTGACGCCTCGGAAGATGGGGATGTGGGGGTGGAGCTGACACAGCCCCTCGATAGAAGTGAGTACATTTACCAGAGCTGTTACAAAACGTGCACAACTACTAACACAGTGAAGCGATCGTAGGCTGTGAAGATCTTGTATCTCAGGCTGACTCCAACAATGCCCATAAAATATGTTTGAGAAAGTGAAAAGTAAAATGAGACATACATCCAATATCAGGCCTAAAATATGTTAATACACAGTATTGCAAAAAGTAAATTGAGACATACATCCAATATCAGGCCTAAAATATGTTAATACACAGTATTGCAAATGCCAACTGCATGAATATAGTTTAGGGAAGTGCCAAATGAGCATACGTTTCAAGTGAAATTATAGAGAACAATAACTAAAATGCTCATTAAATATGTTCAAGAAAGTGGAAAGTAAAATGAGAAATACATAAAAGAATAGGCCTAAAATATATATAATGAACACAAAGCCCAATGTAAGGTTGTGGTACACAGTATTGCACACCTTAATCCCCACTAATGTAATACAAATTGTATTAGGAGACGTTAAATTAGAGAATATTGCCAATTATATTATTAAAGTGATGTAAACGTGAATGTTGTAAATATATGCATAATGAATAATATAATAACTACATCAGTGAGCACTAAGTAAAGTATGTCAAAGTTAAGTGGTTGTTTTTGTGTGCTTTTGCTATCTTTAGATGCCTCAGATGTGTATTTTGAACACTGTATTTTTTTTATTAGCTTTCTTGTAATAATAGACATCAAACTAATTGTCTTAATTGTGTTTCTCTAATTCAGCTGAACTGCTGAAAGTTCTGAACCGGTTTTATAAGAAGAAGGAGATGCAGAAGCTGGCAGCAGACCATGGCCTTGATGGTAAGAAATGATAAGTTGTTCATACTTTGTTTTCAAAAAACGTCTGATGTAACACATTGCTTGAAAGGGCAATACTGTACATGAATGATGGCTTGTTGTCTTATGTGTGCATGTGAATGGTTTACTTTAGGGATGCACCGAATATTCGGCCACCGAAAATTATCGGCCGAAAATGGTTAAAAAGGCACTTTCGGCTTTCGGCCGAAAGGGTTTTAGCACCGTAAAAATATCACCGAATGTCAGAGAACAGGGTTACGTTGATCATACTCCGCATATTTGTCCGGGTGTTTTGATTTCAAGTGGTGGAGTAATCCCGAAGTGGTGAAAGTCTTTGCAGTTAAACCCCCTCGAGAAATGTCAGCTGAACACGTTTTACAAATCGCAATCCGCGCCTCTTTCTCTGATATTTTGCAATATCTCCAAGCGGCAGACATGTTGGCTGTGAGCCAGCCGCGAGCATGGTCGCGCGCCGTGCTTTTCGCCGCGTTTTGATTACGTCATCACAACAACACGTTAGGTTATCAAACTTATAGGTGCATTTGTTGTTGAAGGCCTGGCTGTTATAGCCTTTATTTACACTATTTTGTTGTAGGCCTACTGGCCTAGATGTTTATGCAGTTTTAAAGCACCTTGGCTTTGTTCTGAATGCACTTTGTTGTAGTTATCCTACAGAGAAAAGAAAATGCACTTGACTTGGAATTAATGTACTGCATGCATTCAAAAGTGCTGAATAAATGTTTTATGGACCCATAATAGTGATTATTATTTAAGTTAAGTTTTGCCATAATCATGTCTTTTTCCATAATCAGGTAGCTGAACAACATTGGTAAAAAATGTATACATTATATATATTTCTATTAATCATTTTCGGCATTCGGTTTTCGGCCAACTATTTCCTATTTTCGGTATCGGTTTCGGCCAAGAATTTCCCATTCGGTGCACCCCTAGTTTACTTGAAGGTAAATTGCTGGTCACACATTTGAGTCAATCGTCATCTCTGAGATCCAGCTGTTGCTGAACAGCAGCTGTAGCAGCTGCCGTCGTTAACTGCAGCTGCCTTGGTCCTACCATACAATACGCTATACTGTATAGTCCCTGTTAGGAAAGTAACTCCTCCACAGATACAGATCTTACATAGTGAAGGAAAATAAATGTACCCATGGCTTTAGTACACATGCAGATAGCACATATAAACATACACAATACACACCTACGGACAATGGCGACCACACAAAAGATTTTGTGAAGTTTTAAAATGCTGAAGTCGGAGTGATATGGACAGAAATCTAACAGCATGCTATGTGTGGTGATCATTTTGTGTGTGTGTTTGTCTGTACAGCTCGTCTGTTCCACCAGGCCTTCATTAGCTTCAGGAAGAATGCTCTGGAAATGCTGTTCCTTCCTGCCGATCTGCACATCATCCTCAGTGACATCTGCGCCGGATCAGGTGTGTTCACGTTTAATAAAACCTCAAAATAGAGTTTGTCAATAGATCATTTTGATAAATGACATTGAAACTTTAAATAACTTAATTTCTGTTCTCCAGGTCATGTTGATGACATCTATCCGTACTTTATGCGTCATGCCAAGCAAATCTTTCCTATGCTGGACTGTATGGACGACCTGAGGAAGATCTCAGACCTCAGAGTTCCTGCCAACTGGTGCGTAGTACAGAGACGACTGTTCTTTATACATCTGATATCTGCAGGTATACATCTTCACTGGCCTCACAATCGGACTTGATTAAAGTTCACCTGTCAATGATTCTCAGTGCATCTCAATGAAGGGCATCCCAAATGTTCTCATTTACTCAGTCAGACAAATCTGAAATCCCTTTTCAATGCCAGACAAAACTATGGTTGTCACATAGCAGCTCTAACATAGGACACTTCCTGAAGGCTGAAGGCATTCGACGAGCTTTCATTACACTGCATATATTAGCATCACGGCTAGTGGACATTTAGCTCTTCTACAATGTCTTACACCTTCTTTATATTTCTATTTTTTCAGCCTATTTTTTCAGCTTATTTTGAGAGTAAGAGCAAATAGTTGACAGACTGCCGAGAGTTGAGAGTCTTCCCCTTTGATCAGTTGAGATATACAAGCGCAACACTAAATTCTATTTATGTCCTAATTTTTTTAATTGTCCTCTGCATCGAAATGCATCTTGGAGTTAAGACAGACGTCTACTTAACGTCTAAGCTCCTCCACTCTACTGGCTGTAGGTTTTATTTACCATCTGAATGTGTGTGTCTTAACTTGCACTGTGTGACTTTGTGATTACAGTCCTTTTGTGTACGTCTGTTTAATCAGGTACCCTGATGCTCGTGCTATCCAGAGGAAAGTGATTTTCCATGCTGGTCCCACTAACAGCGGTAAAACCTACCAGGCCATCCAGCGCTTCCTGACCGCCAGGTCTGGAGTTTACTGCGGCCCCCTGAAACTACTGGCCCATGAGATCTTTGAAAAGAGCAACAATGCAGTACGTATTTGTCTTCTTCTGTCATCTCTTTGGTTTAAAGCAAAACACCATTGTTTTTACACATCAATCTTTTTAGGTCTTAGTGGGTACTACTTCATATTAAAGCAAGTTTGTATCTAACGGTCGATCCTGTCTTTTCCATTTTCCATCTCTGTGAAGAAGTCATCTTTAATCTCTTTCTCACCACACCATATTGTTGACTATTGCCCCATGTGTTTATCTGTTTGTGTGTGTGTATTTGCAGGGTGTGCCTTGTGACCTGGTCACTGGAGAGGAGAGGAGCTTCATGGACCCCGATGGTCGAGCATCTGCTCACGTGGCCTGTACCATTGAGATGTGCAGTGTCACCACACCTTGTAAGTGAACACTATACATACAAACCTTTTAGTTTAATAGCATACAAGAAAACTCTACATCTCTCTATTGGACATTGAATTGTAACTTATCAGATTGTATCAGCTATTTAAAAATGAATGGTGAAGAGCTGTCTCTTTTCAAATTCATCCCCGTCCTTTGTATTTAAAAATGTAGTTCACATTTAATTCATGTTTTGTGTATCTCTATTTATAGATGAAGTTGCTGTAATTGATGAAATTCAGATGATCAGAGATCCTTCCAGAGGCTGGGCCTGGACCAGAGCACTACTGGGTTTGTAACACACACACACACACACACACACACACACACACTTAAACTTTCTTGTACCATTCANTTTTTTTTTTTTTTTATTTTTTTTTAATGTACAGTTTTTGTTTTAACTCAATGTTGCCCCACCTCGTCCTCTTTTCTTTCTCAGAGCTCTTCTCCAGGCTGATGTTGTGCTTCTGCTTGGAGCCAGGCTGAATTGGATGCTGCATTTTGGTCAGCCACCTAGATTTGACCCCGATGTCAAGATCCTTCAGGTTTGAAAATGAGCAATGGCTAAATTGTCTATTTGTGGAAAATCAGTTTTGCCTCTGACACCACCTAATGCTAGAAATACCTCACTGGTAAAAACAAAAAGCAAGTGAAAATATCTTAATATTGTCGTGCCAGTGCAGTTCATTTGTTTTCTTGAGCCATATCTCCTCCACTGTGTTACTCTGTTGCTGCAAATTGTGTGCTGTGATAACAAGAGTGTGCTCTTTGAGCAGGTTGACCTTTGTCCTGAGGAGATGGGAAACAATGTGAGGCCTGCTGTTGCTCTCCTGGGAGACATCAACGCTATTGTCACACAGGTAACTACAACTCAGCGGGCCCACATACTCTTTCTGAAGAATCCCTCTTCTTTGTGTGCTTATGTTTGTTGTGCATTAAATATATCCTTACAGCTCATATGTGTGTTTGTGGAAATGTCTTTGATTCTTTGTTTGTGTGCTTGTTTTTCAGCTTCTGGAAGGCGTACATAAAGATGGCTGGAAATATTCCTCTGATGCAGAGTGGTGGGGCACACTGAAGGACAAAATTGCAGCTAATGCAAAAATATCCAAGGTGAATTTAGACTCCATTTTGAATGATAATGTTGCTCAACTTGTTTTTCATATTGTCACTATTTTCAATGTATTATTATTCGTGCATTCTTTCCCCCTCACTATCCACAGGCGATGGCTCTTCAGTCGACTGTGCCCATGAACTACTACACAGTGTTTCATCATGTGTCCCAGCTGCTGCCACAGGACTGTATCATTGTCAGTGAGGGAGCAAACACTATGGACATAGGACGCACTATGTTGAACAACTACCTACCTCGACACAGGCAAGGCAGTTTTATTGTAACGGCACATAAAGACACACATTAGTCGATTATGTTATATGTCCCCAAATGTAGATAGAAAAGAAGACAGACATGGTATTACAGTAGGCATCTGAAAGACTTTGTGGAATATTGTCGGAGCTCTTCTCATGTAAAGATTATGCTTTACAAGGATTTGTGCCAAAGGCTTTTAAGGGAAGAGACTCTAAGGTTTGAATACTGATACCAACTGGAAAATGTATTTGTTGAAGCGAAGTACCTAATATGGGATCAGGTTGTACGCTAATCCTGTTGATGTGCAGGTTGGATGCTGGTACATTTGGAACAATGGGAGTAGGCCTTGGCTTTGCTATAGCCGCAGCGGCTGTGGAGAGGAGCGAGAACAGAAACCAGAGGATAGTCTGTGTGGAAGGAGACAGCGCTTTTGGATTTTCTGGCATGGAAGTAGAAACAATGTGCCGGTGGGTTGGTTTCCTCCCTTTCTACCCCACATACTCTATACACTTCAATACCCCACTGTTACTTAATTGCATATTGTCTGTTTTGCTTTACAGGTATAGTCTCCCTGTGGTCATCATTGTGGTCAATAACAATGGTATTTACAGCGGAGTGGATCCTGAGACATGGAAAGAAATGGAAAAAATGGGAGATCTGACCACTATGTGAGTCCCACAACATCAGTCCCAGCAATTGACTATTCACTGTAATAGTTTCCTACATGTCATCAACTGTGATGTAATGAAATGTATCTCATGTCCTTATGTTGCTTGTCAGAGCCCCTCCTGTGACCCTCCTACCTGAGGCACGCTATGATGAGGTCATGACAGCATTTGGAGGTCGAGGGTACCTGGTGAGGACGGTGGAGGAGCTGCGCAATGCTTTACAGCAGAGCCTGAGTGACTGGGAGAAACCAAGTCTCCTCAACGTGCTCATCGACCCCTCTTCCGACAGGAAACAGCAGGTAACTGCCACCGGTCAGGAATATATACAGTAGAGTCATCACAGTCTCTATGAGAAGTTCATGTCAAAATAAAAGAATCCACTCAAGTTTTATTTTGAAGTTGGAGTCCTTTGAATGGCAGGCAGTCAATTATAAGCATAGATCCTGTTGAAATGCCATGCCCTCTTGTGGTTGTGAGTGAATGATGCTGAAACACCACTTTCCTGCTGCCGAAAACACCGTTGTGCTTTTCTCAAGTAATGGTCAATGCCTCAACCAAGGACACTTGGAATTAATTTGTCAAAGGTGAAATCTGCATGTTAATAAAGATAGTCGTTCTCAGAGGGGGATGGCACCACCAACAGATACCGTACATTTTGACGGTTTGAACAGAATACTCACCCAATTAGCTTCACCATTAATATCCCTGGCTGAAACCAAATGCCCAGATTTCTGTGCATTCGTCGATTGGACATGTACAGGACGTAAAGCTGCTCAAATACATCCCTTTTGCAGACTTCTAGAGAGACAAGATTAAAGGGTCAGGAACGTGGCAGCGGTCATAACAATTGAGGTCTAAGTTATTTCTTAACACAATAATTGATTCCTTTTATGGTCCACTCCAGACATGACGTGATTTTAGAACACGGGAAATTGTGACCTGATGTCTCATATTTACCTGTTTCCCCCTGAGACAGAAGTACAGAAAGGAGATGAACAATGACCCCGATGACATTGACAGTCGCAGCAGCAAAGCCCGGCGAGATTAAAAGCAGCAGCATCTCGGTCATGAGTGCAGAGCAACAAACGGTTTGGTGTTTACTTGGCTCTGGCCTCATCCTTCTAGCTGCATGGCTGACATGCCTTACTGAGTAGTAATCCACACACTCCAGGTGCACTGCAGAACTGTTGTATTCCTCTCACAATCCCTCCACCTCACACCAACCTGACCTTTCTATTTCAGGGTCCCCATAATTAGAAAGCAAGGCCCTCTGTGTTTATGTTGAATGTATCTACGCAACCCTTTGCAGACATGTTTGAAGGTTGTATTGAGGGCTGTATACATGGCGCTCTCTGTGGCCCCGAGAGAGACTTGTCCTCTTATTAGGTGTGCTAGCCTATTGTTTGCCTCGAGACTGTTATCCATTTTCAGGTTGTTTTAGAGAGGGGAGGACTTTTCCCTCATATACAGTAGCTCTGTAACCTAAGGTCTAATGTAATGCTGTGTTGTTTGTATTGCAGGAGTTCCCTTGGCTCACACGCTCCAACCTATAGACTGAACGAGGGATCTGCCTCCTCCTCTGTCCAGAACATTATCAGAACAGCAATGACCGTTTTCCTTATGGAAACTCAAACTGGATCGTTATAAAGCTGCTGTAGCTTTTTGTGATTGTTTCCATGAAATAACGGAATATTTTCTTAATCAATTCTTACTACACAGTAGTATTACAAATAACTAAATAATTAATTAAAAAAATGTACACATACACTTAATGTTATTTGTCTTTATTTTTTTGTTTGAAATCTTTATCCATTTTCTTTTCACATAGTTAATATGAAATATTATTAACCTCAGAATCAGTTTTATTGCTATTCTTTTGGTATGCAAGGAATTAGCTTTGTGCATAAACATAGTAAGACTAGTTCAAATGAAAAAATAAAAGCATTTGGAAAATGAAGAAACATAATTCTAGAATAGAAGGGAAAAATACAATAAAAAATGATACTATAATTACAATAAAACATATGTACGAAATATCTAAATTAAAATTGTAAGAGCTTTGTCGTTTTAGGACTGGTAGTTTCATTCAGAAATTTTGGAAATTGTCTAAAGAAATTAAAGGCTCACAATACCAATATGCAATGAACATAGATTGAGTCTCAAAGATGTCCATTTATGTAGTCAAACATTTAGCATATGGATTATGAAAACATTAAAACGCTAAGAAAGTGATTTTATGGTCTGCTCAGTGCTGCAAAATAATTCAATCAATTCCATTTGTTTTTATACAGCACACATTTATAGCCTCCATTGGTTTCACACATGGTCAGAAACATCTTTAAACATGGTTAGGGGCTTTTTAGAAGCAGGAGTGGCAATCTTATGAAATATCTAGATATTTCTGAGAGAGTCCACAGTGTGATCATTTTCTTATTAGATTGTGTATGAGTTATTATCACTTTGCATTATTTCTTACAATCTCCTCCAGATTTAATTTAATCATTTATGTTCAGTTGTCGACAAGCAAAATATTTATTTATATCACTATAGTTTAAGTGTAAATGAAAGTTACTTGTATTTCTAGTTGTTGTTTTTGTAGATCTCTCAGCCCCCAAAGAGCCTCATTAGAAAAGCAGCCACTTTAATTTAGTCGGAGAGACTGGGCATTAAAACCAATCCTGCTGGGATTAAATGGTAACTATGACTAATGACTAATAAATACAAAGAACAGCCGACTGATGCACTTGTTGTCTCAGGATGTACAGATGACACCTCATGCAGAATCCTATGTGTCAGTCATGATACAGTAAGTCTCCCTGTGAGAGCAGTGGAAACAACAAAAGGCACCCCCTGCAGTTGTAAAGGTCTAATATTGGCACTCGAAGCAGCTGGCGGCTGTCTTCTGTAATTTTAGCGCACACTGATGCAGAGGAAAGGCGTCCCCTCTTCGGAGGGCGTAAAGGAGACAGAGCGAGCGGAGAGGGAGGGGAGCAGAGGGAGAGCACAGTGAGGAGAGAGGGAGAGAGAAAGGCAGTGTGTAAGGGCTGCTGTGGCTCAGAAATAAAGTCAGACAACTATCTGGATCAACATGACTCTTCTAACACTTGGACTGTATCTGCCTCTTTTGTTTTGTTATGGCCTGGCTCAGTCCTCTTTTCTGGACAACTTCATGTCAATCCCAGCAGGTAAGAATCTAAAAATCCTGCCCCTGTGTGCGTTTGTGTTTGTACTGTACATACAGTACTATGCATGAACAGTTGCT